AACCCAGGCAGAGTATTAAAAAATTCTATCTATAGTCAAGGTAACAACTCATTTTGTACCCATTATTTCAGGTGAGCGCTCTGTGCAAAGTTAATATGTCCCCCACCCCCATGTAAGTTTGGGTTTCTTCATAGCAGTTTTGCTATCAGCTAGTAAACAATGAGGACTGCTCCAGTTCAACTGCTGTGTCCTTCGTGTGGCTCCAAAGACAAGGCACAATCCACAGTCTCAGAATTTCATATGTTGGATCCCATTTGTTCCATCAGGTGTACAGGCAGATGGCCTAGGAAAGTTTCAGAAATCACATGCTACCAAGAATTACCAAGCTGCTTTTTCTTACTGATCCGTCCAATGTTGCCTGTGCCTAAGAAGGAAGGTCTATTGGCTATGGTGGCATTTCTAGTATCCCTCTATCTGCTTTCAGCAGCAGTTAACACATTTCCAAATAAACCCGTCTGCTTTGAATATGACCTGCTTTCCAGAAGCTTTGCTGTCCCTTTCTGTTGATGTCTGAAAATGTTTCAAGGTTATGGGGCCTTTTTTTGTTGAACATCTGGCCAAGACATTTCTGTGAGGAAGGATAACTTTCAGGGTGATTCTTCTTGAGATTATCACCTAGTTGTTCCCCTGCTTGATACGCCTGCAGAAGATCATCAGTAATGCCAGGCCAGCCATCTGACAGACAGGAGCTCACTGACCAACATTCACTGTATTTATTAGTTGTTCCCAAACATTTCAAGCAAGGATTCAGCATCTGCCTGGCCTTTTGAAATTGTGGGTGTCCACAGATCTCTGCAGGTTGGAATCACCTCCTTGTATCCCATTGCTTACTCGTCTCATAAAGGTGGTCTGCTGCTCAGCAGATGGATGGGATGGACTGAGAGCTGCCGGTGGGAGCAGCTCCTTGAACGTGAACGTCCTTCTTGTCTTCCCACTGGCTGCATCTCCTAGGGTTTTTCCAAGGGCTTTCGCAATATGAGCCGAGCCAAGCCAAGGGCCTGTCTTTTGGGCATAGGGGCAGCTGGGTGATTACCTGATTGATGGTTTTGTTTGCATGCAAAGAACCAGATATTAGTATAGTCATTAATATTGAATAACATTGAACTATATGACTATATTAATGTGACTGTAATGAACTAGTCATTAATATAATTTAGCTGTCAGGAAAGGAGTGATGGCACTGGTTGGATCCAGCGGCAAAGCTCAGACCCTTCCCTGGTTGCCAGTGTGAGTTCCACTGCCTCAGACAGCAATCCCGAATGCATTTCCATGACCACCACGTCTTGGAGAACTGTCGGGACTTCAGATAGACACCTAGTTTGTGAAAATGAGTAATTATAAAGGG